TTGGTTGAGGATAGTGTGAGTAGCCAGAGCATGCAGGGGCCCCTAACATCACCCTACCTCTTTCCCTCCCTCCCTCCCTCCGAAAAACACGTGCTTACCAGCAAAATCGCCAAGCTGCCGGCTGGTCGCCTGTTTAGCTAGCTAGCTCTCCCGAGTAGTGCCTGGTGCATGTCCGGGTAGTAGATGGTTGCACACAATTGTGTGCGGCAGAGAAGTGAACCGGAACCGTCTCGTGCATTCTCATCATCACCATCATCATCACCTCGTGCATTTTGGGGAATTGGATGCATCCCTCCACCAGGTTTATGTAAATTTACATCCGTTCTGCACCCCGATGATCCATACATGATCCATGCGTCGGCATGCATGCAGACGCCGTCGCGCACCACGTCCAAAAGGGGAGTTGCGGGAATCGAACCCACGACCTCTCGCACCCGAAGCGAGAATCATACCACTAGACCAAACTCCCTCTTGCTTCTCCTGAGGGGACCGAGTTGCCCCTTATATACACCTTGTACTGCAGCTGCTATACACACACATCCGTATAGCACGCGTGTGTATAGCGTACGCACGCGCGCATACACACAGACACGCACACACACAGACACGCACACGCACACGTGTGCACACACACACAACACACACACACACACACATTCACGTACGACAATGCACGAGGCGCAATCGCGCAACTATTATGATGATAATTTCTTGAAGGGGATCGGGAAAGATATGGCGCATCATAGAAACATCCACTTACAAGCAAGGAGATAGATAGAGTCGACTCTATCAAACAACCTCATGGCTGTAATTATGAACCACATGAATGATGATATACGTAATAATATATCATTAACCATAAACACACATATACAATAATATGTAATAACTCATTATATACCTGGTATATATACCTGGTATCGCTACCCCGCTGTACTATCTAGCTAGTTATTATATATATATATATATAGCACTCGTGGAACGGAACTATCTTAAGATGCCACTTATCCGCTTAGTAATTACTTAGGGCCATCTTGGTACCAACTACAGTGATACTTACCAACGGCGATGAGAGCTTCGTATGTCGCAGCTCTACTAGCTAACTGCCAGACACACAAAGTAACTTTAATATCTTTTTTCTTATCTCACAGAACTAAGCAAGAATGTTACAAAAGCTCTTGCAGCGCTGCAAGGTATTTAGCTTACATCTGTCCCAGATTTAAAACTTTCGTAAATGTGAGCCCGAACAGCTCAACAGTGGCAGTGAAATGTCAATCTTACACCTCCAGAAAGTAATTCCTTACTTAGAATCATCTATGNAGCAAGCATTTGCCCCTAGTAAATGTTACTTCATATATTTATTACTTCATAATTGCTTGATCATGAAGTTCTTAATAAATGTCACTTAATATTTGTTTGGAGGACTTAGTATTCGGGACTAAGCGCTTCGAGTACCATTAGTATGTAACATGATACTAAGTGACCTACTAAGCGGCCTATTAAGAATGTTACCAGGTAGCTATGAAGGACATATGAAGTGGGTAGCACTAAGATGGTATTAAGAAGATACTAAGTGGTGGCGTTCCACGAGTGTAGATAATATATGCACCACACAATTAATATCCAAGCATTTCGTAGATCACCGGTGGGCAGTGCACGAAAACCCCTGCTACAGCTGTGAGCTCAGTCAACGAGCACTGTACAGAACAGTATACATAGATATATAGTTCAGCAGGTAGAGGCCAGAGCTCTGGCCCTCGAGGGAAGCAAAACATGTCATCAGGTCATGACCTGTTCCCCAGTTTCCATGCACTGATGATCATCAGTGCACGGAAACCCCAATGAGACCAATAATAACAAGCACTATAACCGAGGTAAAGATAGCCCAGCAAATAGAGGCTGGCAGGGGGCCCCGGGGGCACCGGGAAAGGTGTACCATGGACCCCACAAGCCAACCTCAGTCCTCATGACTGATCAGTCCAACAGGGGGAACACCATAAAAGACTGCGGACATACATTGTACCCAACACTTGTACAAGCAACAGTTTTAATTGCCAGGAGAGACTTTAGATAGAGCTGTATGTGCAGTGCGTGGGTGTCAAAGGACAGGATGTATGGTTGAGGATAGTGTGAGTAGCCAGAGCATGCAGGGGCCCCTAACATCACCCTACCTCTTTCCCTCCCTCCCTCCCTCCGAAAAACACGTGCTTACCAGCAAAATCGCCAAGCTGCCGGCTGGTCGCCTGTTTAGCTAGCTAGCTCTCCCGAGTAGTGCCTGGTGCATGTCCGGGTAGTAGATGGTTGCACACAATTGTGTGCGGCAGAGAAGTGAACCGGAACCGTCTCGTGCATTCTCATCATCACCATCATCATCACCTCGTGCATTTTGGGGAATTGGATGCATCCCTCCACCAGGTTTACATCCGTTCTGCACCCCGATGATCCATACATGATCCATGCGTCGGCATGCATGCAGACGCCGTCGCGCACCACGTCCAAAAGGGGAGTTGCGGGAATCGAACCCACGACCTCTCGCACCCGAAGCGAGAATCATACCACTAGACCAAACTCCCTCTTGCATCTCCTAGGGGACCGAGTTGCCCCTTATATACACCTTGTACTGCAGCTGCTATACACACACATCCGTATAGCACGCGTGTGTATAGCGTACGCACGCGCGCATACACACAGACACGCACACACACAGACACGCACACGCACACGTGTGCACACACACACAACACACACACACACACACATTCACGTACGACAATGCACGAGGCGCAATCGCGCAACTATTATGATGATAATTTCTTGAAGGGGATCGGGAAAGATATGGCGCATCATAGAAACATCCACTTACAAGCAAGGAGATAGATAGAGTCGACTCTATCAAACAACCTCATGGCTGTAATTATGAACCACATGAATGATGATATACGTAATAATATATCATTAACCATAAACACACATATACAATAATATGTAATAACTCATTATATACCTGGTATATATACCTGGTATCGCTACCCCGCTGTACTATCTAGCTAGTTATTACATATATATAGCACTCGTGGAACGGAACTATCTTAAGATGCCACTTATCCGCTTAGTAATTACTTAGGGCCATCTTGGTACCAACTACAGTGATACTTACCAACGGCGATAAGAGCTTCGTATGTCGCAGCTCTACTAGCTAACTGCCAAACACACAAAGTAACTTTAATATCTTTTTTCTTATCTCACAGAACTAAGCAAGAATGTTACAAAAGCTCTTGCAGCGCTGCAAGGTATTTAGCTTACATCTGTCCCAGATTTAAAACTTTCGTAAATGTGAGCCCGAACAGCTCAACAGTGGCA